CCGCGGGGGAAACGTAGTGTGCCGCACCTAATAAAAAACTCGTGACACTTAAGGTTTTGGACACTTACTCAAATTAGGGTAGTTGATCGTGATTTCTTTGCCAATGGACTGAGGAGGGCAATTGGGCGATAAGAGATCGCGATTAATATATTGGTCGCATACCCTATGTGCACAGGCGACGGGGATAAACGGGGGTAAACGGGGATTACCCCGTCCTAAACGGGGATGAAAATTGTGATTAAATTAATTATATTGAGGGAACGCATTTATAGAAATCTACTTGCTTATCAATAAATTATTAATAACTTTATTCTTTAACATACGTATCAATTTGGAAGCTTAAAAATACGAAAAAGGTGGCGTCTCGCTGCGCAAACGCTTTTCCGGCCGGCGGGTGACGGGTTGAAATCCCCGTCAATGAGCTACTGACGGGGATTTCAACCCGTTTTTGCTAAAGAATACGAGGACACCTTCCAGCGTGGTTACGCAGGAGGACAAATAAGGAACCAAAATAGCCCCATTATCGTGCACATGGTAGATTCACATCGTCGCGTAAATGCCAGAGGGGCAAGGTCTCCTCCAGCTATTCAAACTTCGTTAGCGTCTGTTGGCTACGATAAAAGCGACTACAACTAGGTTACGCCATCCGGTCCTGTGCGCCCAAAGGAACTTGTAAAGGTGCTGCAGTTACCATAGCCGAAAGTCGCCAATCTTACCATACGTAAATAATTGACTTTCCTGACGGTAAGTACCCTCTGTCATTGACTAGATCATTCATCCTAATTTTGTTTCCTTCTCACCTCTGACAATAGTGCGATTTTTTATACCAACCCGAGAAAAATAAGGAGGGTCCGTGGTCAGGGGTTTGAAACGGAAACAGGACACGCAACCGTTATAGGGAATAGGAGCCAATCAAACCTTAGTAATGTTAATCTGACGGTGACTGTGCAAGGCTCTGTACGCCGGCGCTAGATCGATTAACCTAGTCCTCGTCGGAGGCCCAGCCTCCAATAAATTTGCGGCTTGTCTTGCTTCTAACACGGGCGATTACTTTTATACCTGCGAAACTAAACTCATGATTCGTTTCTTAGTTCAACACCTTGATTTTTGCGAATCCCGCACAGTTCCACAGTTATCTGTTCGGTCCTCTCTGATACGTCGTTGATGTACGACAGCGTATGTAATAGCGTAAGTGTTATTTCCATTTCGGTCCTCCAAAGTGAACGCGTACGTGTCGTCTTATGAACGCCTCCAGATAGCCGGTCCGTATAAACTGGTGGCGGAGCTGTCGGATCTCACGCGTTTTTCCCCGGTTTATTACACTTAAACTGGATTCTTTTGGGTGGTGTTCTCACACCGCTTCGTCTGTGAGCTACCGGATAATTGCTATGACAACTAGGAAGTAGTAGACGCTTGTTACTATTTCGCCGTTGAGACTTCGCTTAGCTAGCACATCAAGCAAGAACACCTGGTGTTCCTTTTCTCATTTCTTCGGGAATTTCATATTTTAAAGGTTTAGTTAGGAAGATTATGAACAGTACGGCCTAGAATTCGTGTAACATGCCGACACATGCGAAAGGTTGATAATATTGCGCTAATCAGCTTTGAGTAAGATTGTAATACTGATTATCGTGTAGTTTATTCTGAAGTTATTTCAGTCACGATAGGATGCCGGATTTTTAACGAGTTTTTCTGACCGCTAACAAAAGTTATGTACTGTAAAAAGTGGCTAGTTCAATAGCATGCATTTTTATCATTGATTTTGACTGCCTTTATAAATTAAAAAAATATTTTTTATAGAAATCCTAAACGAAAAAATATTTCTTATACTTGTTTGGTAGCCAATTACACTTTCTTTAAATTTTATATTAAAAAAGGCTATCTTTCGGTTTTGAAAATTTCTAATTATGAGCTTTTGTTACGATTGTGAGATGTTCATTGATTATACATCACATCCTTCAAATTATCAATGCCGCCTATAATGTATACAGTCTGTTTCACCTCTGTTGCAATATTTTATGAGAACTATATGACTTCTTCCTCAAACCGTGGGCGAAAAGGTACTTTTCCTTAAACAGAATGTACACAGCGCGCAGTTTGTAAACCTTGAATTCAGGTGTAGCAGTCAGTAGGTTTAACAATTACTCGACAATTGCCGAAACTTTTTTTTAAAACCAAAATATACCTTTTCTTTAAGTATAAACTTTAAGAAGGGCATAATTTTCTACCAAAGAAGTGCAATAAATAATTTTTTGGTTTATGTTTTCTATAAAATATTTATGGAAATAAAAAGGCAGTCAAAATCAATGATAAAAATGCATATTATTTAAGTAGTCATTTTTTACATTAAATACATTTTGTTTGCGGTCAGAAAGAATCTCGTTAAAAATCCGGCATCCTATCGTGACTGAAATGATTTCAGAATAGACTACACGACAATCACTATTACCTTACTCAATGCCGATAAGCGAAAGTGTATCCATCTTTCGCATATGTCGGCATGTTACATGAATTCTAGGCCGTAATGTGAAGGCTAAAATGGGCTCATCGATAAAAGCGTGTCGTTCACGCAACGGTGCCAGAAGGTCGGCGCCCTTTAAGGGGCTAGTTCTGCCACTGGGCCTGATGTTAATGAGCCCATTGGAGTTCCCTGCTCTACTCACAAGTCTATTGGCTAAATTCGAACAGCCCCATTAGCTATTCAATTTGTGATGGGCTTTAAGTGTCGTAGTATGATTCCTTAATTCTCCTATGCCAAACACGACAAGATGAGTGTGAATAACGATGTCACGTTGAAAGAGACCAATCAACCGATGTATAGACCTGACGCCGAGGCCTGTGCAGTCACTTACAGACTCATGTTGGCCCCTACCCCTTTATAATTGTTGCTTTTTTCGTTGTTGCTTTCACCCTGACGGTCAACTCCTGTAGGAGTTCGAAAGCTCTGATGAATGAAGAAGTGGTTCTGGCGATGGAACAGCCTTCTTCCCAACTTGTCGTATAAGTGCCTGTTCAACTTCTTGATTTTGTTGAATATCGAACGCACATTTGCTAATAATTTTTTCAATTTTAATGATATTGGCAATTGGTAAGCCAGGTAGCTCATAGTCCGCTTTTATACCTATCTTTCAGCTCCAATTCCTCCAGCAGGACATGGGAACTTCCGGCCATGGTGGACTAAAGCCTGGAGTTGATGAGAGCAATCCCTGGTGGTCCATCCTCAAAAAGGTTCTCGCTAATCACGGCGCGGGCGTCAAGGTTGAAATATTTCCCGTCGCAACGGATGCCCGTTTCCTGAGACGCTATCATCGCCTTGCTGCCGGGAAAATAACGGCTATGGATGCACCCACCGGACACCCATTCAGGCCATCAACTTTTCACCCATGCGGAACACGCCCGTCCTTCTACACAGCCATGACGAATTCCTGAATAGGGATGAATTTTTGCGTGGTCTTGTCCTCTACACAGACCTCGTTCGTGAAATCTCCTCGCTTCCTTGACCTCTTGCCAGTGGTGTTACCCCCTCGCGATTAGCAAAATCAGTCAACGAATGATCCCGTGCATTTTTATCCCTTGATTTTAGTTTGCTTTGTATCGGAATGTTTAAGCGCCTTAGCAGTGTATCACACTTTCAAATTACAATTTTGTACCTTCATTACTTACGTTGTTTTGTTGGTATGGCCTTTTCATTCGAAGTTGTACGCCCTCTCCTTCTGTCCTTTGAAGGGTTCACTGGTATTTTTTGAGACTATCAGCGCACATGTAATAGACTGAAAGTATCTAGTAGTGGACAGGGCGCCAACTTTTTTCATTTGTAAGTTAATGGACCACACACTGGACCTCTATCTGGCGCAGAATGTTAAGTCACCAACCAGAGAGCTAGTTGCTTGGACTTTCACGAAGGTTTGCGTTTATAATTATAAAGTACATTCCAGTGCCACACTCGGTAAGATTGACCATACGACGATACTGTGGGATTGCTTGCTTTATTCTCAACACCAGAAGAGATCGCAAGGCCAGCGAAATATATGGAAAGCAGCTCTTAATTCGATGAAGAACGTACTGACGTCTGTGAATTAAGACAGTTTGAACAATGGATATTCAGAGGACGACTGGGGATCGTTTAAGACAATTTCTTTCGATCTTATTGAGCGCTGTTGTACGGCAAAAGTATAAAAGACGACTGGTCTCCCTGCCTAGTTGACAAGAGACCTTAATAAACAGTTAAAGAAAAATAGAAAAGGGAAATTGGGTCACCAATAAATCTCGAAGAATTTCCTCGCCAATGAAATGCGGTCAAAAAATTTATGCGTCAGGCAAGGAAGAACTATGAATCAAGAATTGTCCAACAGGCTGAAAATAAACTTAAAGTTGTATTGCGCTATATTAATGGTCGACTTAAAAACAGGGACCCAGTCGCAGTAATTAACGATGATAATAGTGTAGAAGTCGTTAAAAATTACGAGAAAGCCGAGAACTGACTACTTCTTTGCCTCGGTATTCACCGTGAAAACCGAGCTTCAGTTTCATAATATCAACAGTGGTGTTGTAAACGCTGGTCCAGTGCTTGGATCTCTATTCTTCCAGGCATCTGCAGTGGAAAGATATCTGTAAAACCTCAAAGAAGCAAAGTCATCCGATCCGAATAATATATCGGCGGATTTCTGAAAGAATTGGCGAGTGAGCTCTCAAAACCACTAGCGCATAAATTCCGTTTGTCATTTGAATTAGAAAGACTGTCATCCGAATGGAAGATGGCAAATATATATCCGATATACAAGAATAGGGCTCGAACGTAGGTAAACGATAACCGGCCCGTCAGCCTAACCGGCGTTTGCTGTAAAATAATGGAAATATTATAAAGATGACGAAAATTAAGTTCCTGGAGGAGAACAAATTAGTCTCAGGGTTCTAACATGGCTTCAGACAGAACCGCTCTCGTCTTTCCAGCCTATTGCTCTCGACCAAGCGGTGATCTCGCAGTGGGCCAAGTTAATAAGGAAAGCCCTTTCCGCTGCGATCTTCAGGAAGAAATACTTTATCCGGTACAGAAGGAATGGAGAATATTTAGGAGGAATTGACTGTCGGACTAGCCTGCGTCTGGTCGCCAAAGTGACCG